CAGAGATCTGCCTGTCTCTGCCTCCCAAGTGCTGGGACTACAGGCGTGCGCCATAAGACATAAAATTGAATGAGTTTTTAACCTTTAAAAAAGATCTCCATTTCATTTTAAAATATACTGTTTTTTAGAGAAAGACTCATTGTTTTTGCTACTAATAATGAGATGTTAGCGGAAGCGTCTATAATCTGTATGTATCTGAATTTTACTAGTTATAATCGGCTGCACTTGGATCCTTGGCGCCTGTGTATATCTATAAAGTCATCAGGTAGATTTCAGAGGTAATGTTTATCACCTCTACTAATTAACATGACACAAATTTTTATGCTTCCTCCTTAAATATAATACTTTTTTTTAATTTGATTTTTTGTGTATGTGTGTATATCACACAGAACATCCCAAACCATCTTATTCAACTATACACCCACTTCCCAGATGGCACCCTCCCATAGCCCCTCCCCCAACCAGAGCCTTTATACTCTGTTATCCCTACTACTACCCGCTGTGTTGTTGGCACCCCCAGCCATTCCCCACTACTTGTCCATCTGGTGAATCTAGTCAGCCTATCTAGAGGGCTTTGATTTAGGAAGGTCAGCTGTTCCTCATCTAGCAGCAATCAGTTGTCAATATTCCTTTAGATAAGATTGGGGTCCACTGTTCATTTTCCCAGTTCTATTACTATCCCAATTACAGTTTTTTAAGCAGTAACATATTGGGAAAGAATTTTTAGAATATACCATAATTTACCAGGTGTGGTGGTGCACTCCTTTAATCCCAGGACTTGGGAGGCAGAGGCAGGCAGACCTTTGTGAGTTTGAGGCCAGCCTGGTCTACATAATGTTTTCCAGGACAGCTGGAGCTACAAGGAGACCCTGTCTCAAAAAGACAAAAAATATATATATACCATAATTCTATTATCCATCATAAACCACTTTCAATACTTGAATTTTTTTTCTTTCAGTGTGTTTACTGTCTACTTGTTTCTAATTATTTTTACCCATATTTGATTTTACATTATGTGTTATTACTATCTATTTATAAAGAACTTTAATGATTACATAATATTGCAACAGATGGGGATAATATAAATTACTTAACAATTATTCAACACAGCTTTTTAATATTAATTTTAAAAGGGGGTTTTCTGTGCATTTAGAAAACACAGACTATCTTTGATCCCTAAGCAATAGAAAACCTGCTTTGGTAAGTATAAATGGAAGATGATTATCAATGTTGCTATTAATGAAGCTAATAATTACTAAGTATAGGATCCAGGGGAAACCCTAATATTCAAATCACAGCTAGTCAACCAGTGAAGGAAAAAAAAAGCAGACATGAATTTGAGACTTCTGATGTATTCTGAAATCAGGGAACTTATTCCCTGTAGGATTTCAGTCATAAATGTGTGGGAAGATGTGGTTCTTTGATTTGGAAGAAAAGACACTAACCTTACTAAGTGTGGCCCTACATTATTAATAGTATTCCCATATTGTGCTTTTTTTCACTATTGTGGTTACTTTGAAGACATATTAGATATAAAATTTTGGATCTCATATTTTTTAGATTAGAAAATGTAAAAAGCATTTTCACGATCAGGGAATTATTTTCACAATATTGGTTTAAGAATTGCATAGTAGAGGCTGGAGAGATGGTTAAAAGCACTGGCTGCTCTTGCAGAGGACCTGAGTTAGGTTCCCAGCACCCACACAATGGCTAACAACCATCTATACCTTCAGTTCCAGGGGATCCAGCACCCTATTCTGGCCTCGTGGACATTGTACAGACGGGTGCACTTGCATATATGCAGGGAAAATACTCAGACACATAAAATAAAAATATTTTTAAAAAATAATTGCACAGCATTTCATAACATATATTCATAATTTAGTCCTCTATATGGGCTATTTCAATTGTCTTATTATGTAATTCAATGAACATATTTGCTTGTGAATAGTTTCCCTTAATTCGGAGTGTGTTTTTTATAAAGGACTTCTAGAAAGAGATTACAATATCTGGTGATGTTAGGACTGAGGCTGTTACTACTACTTTAATTGTGGTTGTTCCTCTACTTACCATTCTTTTTGTTTTAGAAGAAGCATTTCATTACACCTTTAACATACTCAATAACAATTTCCAGAGTTCTATTTTTAAGATAACGTTAATAATAAATAAGGAAGGAGAAGTCACTATTGCCTCTCAAATTCAGAGCTCTGCTAATCTTAAACTAAGGTACAGACCTCAAGATCCTTATAGTCTCAACACACATTGTGTCATTGTGTCCTCTTGTGGCCAGCAACAGAATACAGAACAGTAACAGAGCGATAAGCATACCCAGCCACCGTTCAAACATGAAAGAGAGCAAGTAAAGTGACAAGGAACCCAGGTGTCTAGTCTCTCAAAGGAAAAAAAATAGATGCACACGTACATTTTAAAGCATAGGGGCACAATGATATTTTTGTGTATAATTTTGTAATAGAACCCATTACTTTGCATGCTGAAAAATAAGTATGAAAAGTATTAATAAGTATAAAAAGATGACTATTTCATTCCTTGTGAGGAAAACAATTATTTGTAAACTGCAAATTTCTCACTGCCCCATGCTTGAAAACTCAACAAAAACATATGAATATTTAAGTCTTCAGGCTGGAGAGATGGCTTAGCAGTTAAGAGCACTGGCCCCTCTTGCAAAGGACCTGCATTCAGTTCCCAGCACCCACATGGCGGCTAACAACTGTTTGTAACTCTGTTCCAGCGAATCTAACACCTTCTGCTAGTCTCCACAGGCACTGCATGACATGGCTACACTTATACACATGCAGGCAAAATACTCATACACATAACATTAAAGCAAATAAAGCAAAACCTTTTTTTAAAATTTAAGTCTTCTACTGTATTGGGTCAATTATTGTTCTTACCCACTTGGACTTGCAAGTGTCCTTTTCATTGCATCATTATTGTATTGCTAATAAATTCTGCCATGTATTGCTTGTTTGGGGAAAAAAATTTAACCTCTCTGTACCTCAGTTTCCTTCCCTGCCAGACAAGATTAGCAGTATGGACTTAATGATGTTATTGAGCAGGTGTCATCATTAAAATAATACCTGTTGTTAGATATTCAATAAAGCACTAATTATTATAATTGTGACTTTTGCTATTTATAACTTTATTACGTGGACAAGATAATATATCTCTCATGATTTTAATTATTGAGTTATAAAAATATTGAATATTTTCCTAACACTGAGTAGCTATTTGCATTTTTTCTTTGTAGGTCTATGTAGATTCACTGGCCCATCATTTCTTGGACTTAAATTTATAGTGTTTCATGTGGACTGAATATAGTACATGCAATAGGATTTTCTTCAAATATTTTCTCATCCTGGGTGTTGATCTTCTCATATTATTCAAATATTATTTCACAGAAACTTTTCAATTTATATCATAGACTCAATTCCTATTTCCTTCATAGTTTCCTAGTCTAGACCTATCCAGAAAGCACAAAAAATTTAACTTCTTTTTTTGTATGTGAATTCTAACTTTCATATCAGAGCTAGTCAAGGAGACTTTATATTGTATTTTATCTATTTTAAAAAGTAGAAGTAGTTATAAGAAGGATTTGGGGGGGAAGTTAAGTTGATGTAAATTGCAAGCAAAATAAAAATACCCATTTGTATCAATTAGAACAAGTTAAATCAAAAAGATTTTTAAAACCCTACTCTAGAGATTTCCAGTTGGATGTCTGTTCTAACAGGAGCCCCTTCTACAAGACTTGTCATAAATCCAAACATATTTTATTCTTCTTGTTTGTGGCAAATGGGTAAACAGTGTAATGTTTCTCAATGGGAAAAGGAAACCAGACTCTTGTAGATGAGTTTTTGTTACTGGGCCTTTCACAAGATGTACAGACTCAGATCCTTCTGTTTATTCTTTTCTTCATCATTTATGTGCTGACTGTACTGGAAACCTACTCATCATCATCCTCATCTCTATGGATTCTCGACTTCACACGCCCATGTACTTTTTTCTTAGAAATCTCTCTTTTGCAGATCTCTGTCTCTCTACTAACATTGTTCCTCAAGTATTGGTCCACTTCCTGGCAAAAAGGAAAAGTATTTCTTTTTGGGAGTGTGTGACACAAGTAATCGTCAGCCTTCAGAATGGGTGTACAGTGTGTGCTCTGTTGGTGGTGATATCCTATGACCGGTCCGTGGCTGTCTGCAAGCCCCTGCACTACTCCACCATCATGACCCAACAAGTGTGTCTCCAGTTGTCCTTAGGGTCCTGGGCCAATGGGGCCCTCGTGTCTCTGATAGACATCACTGTTGTTTTCCATATTCCCTATAGAGGGCAGAACCAAGTCAGTCATTACTTTTGTGAACTCCTAGCCCTTTTGAAGGCGGCCTCAGCAGACACCTACAGCACAGAAATGGCCATCTTTGCAATGGGCGTGGCAATCCTCCTGGCACCTGTCTCCCTCATCCTCATCTCTTATGGGAATATCATCTCCATTGTAATCCAGATACAGTCTGAAGAAGGAAGACTCAAGGGGTTTTCAACCTGTGGTTCCCATCTCATTGCTGTTATCCTCTTCTATGGGTCTGGAATATTTAATTATATGCAGCCAAGTACCAAATCTATAAAGAGGCATGAAAAGATAGTATCTGTGTTCTACACAGTGGTGATGCCAATGCTGAACCCCATCATTTATAGTCTTAGGAACAAGGATGTCAAAAGCACCTTCATCAAACTGGCTGCAAGAATAGCCTTCTCTCAGAAGCAGTGACCTATAGTCTGAGTTTTAGCACAATGGCAACATCTTTGAAAGAGGAGTAAGATTTTGGTAGGCAATTATGAATTGGCTCATTTTAGGAGGAAACATGGAAGTGTAGAACACAGTGTAGAAATGGTGACTACTCTAAACCAGAACACAGGAAAGAAGTGAAGGGATGAAACCTGGGTCATTTTCAGAGTATAAAAGGTGGGAGAGGTTGTCTTGATGAGTGCACAGTTAATTCAGCCACCAGAGACCTGTCTAAAACACAAGCACAGCCAAGCCTGGTGAAACAGGCCTGTAATCTGAGCTACTTAAGAGGCTAAAGCTGGGGACTGTGAGTTCAAGCTCTGCCTCAAAAAGTCATTGAGATCCTGTTTTATACTGAAAAAGTAAAAGAGTGCTAGGAATATGACTCAGTGGTAGAGCACATGCCTAGCATACATAAAGCCCTAGGTTCAGTCCTCAGTACTGGGAATGAGAGGAGGGAAAGGGGAGGGAGGGAGGAAAAGAGGGGGAAAGAAGGGAGGGAGGAAAGAAGGAAAGAAAGAAGGGAGGGAGGGAAGGAAGGAGGGAGGGAGGGAGGGAGGGAGGGAGGGAGGGAAGGAAGGAAGGAAGGAAGGAAGGAAGGAAGGAAGGAAGGAAGGGAGATTGAATCTAGGCTATTTAAACCAGGTTATCCTAAAATGACATATTAATATGAAATGCATGCATGATTCTAACATCAAAAACATTTCAAATATGAATGTCTTGGTCATGAAAAGCCTTGGAATAAACAATGACTACAATAATCTGGAAGAGTCTTAAATACTGGGGTCATTTATGCCAAGAGCATTTCAACGTGTGAATGGACCAGAGAAGTAATATTTCCTAGTTCACTGCATTCACTACTAAAGCTTCAGAAAATGACCTTAATGTAATCCTTGACTGAAAATCCTTGAGTGAAAAACTGAGTGCAACACTCATCAAATCCAACCACAATAGAGGTATAGACTACTCCATAATGTGCCAGTACCAGCTGGCCAAGACGAACAGCACCTGAAAGGGGGAGTGAGGATGAAAGAAAAACAAGAGACACAGAAAGATACTTGGGAGGACTGTCAGTAGAGACTGCAGCCCCGGTTTATTTTAGCTCAGCCTTCTTAGACAGTAGAACATCAGATAGCCACAGTTTGCTTAGCTGAATTAGCGTCAGCAGCTCTTTTTTCCCACCTCTATCTGAGGGTCAAGGAATGGTCAAATACTTGTGAATACAACCATTTAACTATCTTCCCTAAATTATCAACACATTCCTCCTGACTTGGCAGAACAATTCGGTACTTGTGTGCAAAACACAAACTCTTGAGTCAAGGGGAAAGATCATAAAGTAAACAAGCAAGCCTGCTACAGCTCAGTGTACAAAATGGCTGTGCTTATACTAATAGCTCCCAACAATAACGCACCTATTGTCAGGCACTAGTCTAACCAAAAATAATAAAACTCTCTATTCTCTTACATAATTTTCATTCATATATAGATGGTTCCTACCATTAGAAAGAGCATCCTCATAGAAAGTCAGGATCAATTTTCTTTTATCGTCAACCCACTTTCTCAGGTTTTACTCCTAAACAATTTTCAGTGTTCATGTAAACCACAAGTGCTGAAAGCAGTCTCTACATCTGTTTAAATTCAGTTCTCATGACCAAGTACCCACCTGTTTTTAAAAATTCCTTCACTAACATGCTTTGGTGCCTGGTATGCATTCTAGTTACCCTACACTGAGTGAACCCAGTAAAATATTTCTTTTGAAAACTGAAGAGAATTAAGGAGTTGGAGTTTCCTCATCCGCAACAGATTCTTCCATAGGCTCAGATGCCAGTGTACCACATCTCTGGCCAATGCCAGAGCCCACTTCAGGTTCTCATAATGAACTGGCTGTGAGCCACATCTCTGTTTTACCCAAATTTCTGATTAATCACATGCTTGAGAGAATTCTAAGTCACGGGTTTAGAGAGTTTTCCACCATAATCATTCTGTAATCTCCATGAACATGAGTCCAGGAGCCATGGACTTCCGATTGCCTCCACACTAAGATTGACTCTGCTCACTGAAGAGCTATGTAGGAGCCATGCTGACTCTTTTCTTATCTCATGAATCCATTTTAAAGCCATTTATTGAGCTATTGTTTCATTTTTATTTTGTCCAACTCAGGTGAATGACTAAGATGCAATATTTTTGAATGCAGCTTTTTAAATATGTCTTACTGTCCTTTTAAAATTATTGGGTGTGGATATCCTATCAGGTGGCTCATGACTGAAGAAAACCACAATTGATTGCCTATAGTTCTTCACCTAGTGGTGGGGCCTTGTGAAATTTCCCCTAATCCCTGAGCCCCTAATAGGTTATCCAATCCCAGATGGTCAGCTCTAAACCCACGTACATGCAAGCAACACTAAACAGACTCAGGAGACTTGACAGATAGGTAATAGATTGATAGATAGACAGACAGACAGACAGATAGATAGATAGGTAGGTGATATATATGATATGATAGGTAGGTGATATATATGATATGATATATGTGTGTAACAATAATAATTAATAATAGATTGATAGATAGATAGACAGACAGATAGATAGATAGGTAGGTGATATATATGATATGATATATGTGTGTAACAATAATAATTATACATGAAGAGGTCATGAATTCGAGAAGGGGGTGGAAGGATCTGGAAGGGGAGCAGGAAGGCTGCAAGTGATGTAAATGCAGTGTACTCTTGCAAGAAATTCTCAAAAACAATTACTGGAACCACAATAGACCAATCTAGCCTGGGTGATGATGATAAGTAAAAACCCTCGTTCAAATACTATGTGTTAGCAGAGGAGATGGAATGATTTGCTGAATCTGTTGATCTTGGAAACTGATTATCACTTACATGAGTTCTACTTCAGTGAAAGGAGGGAAGGTAAGAAAAAAGAAATACAAGTTGTAGACACTAATTTGGGAAGTTTCATTGTGAAGGAAAAGAAGAACTGAGGTATGGTTGGGAAAGTGGGGTTGTGAGTTTTTACATCTTTTAGACACATTGCTTTTCCTTGAAGAAAAGCTCTTTGCTGATTTTCACTCATTCTGATACTCTATTACAGTTCTTGGTCTATTTAATTTTCATATAGAATAAAACATTTAAATAATGTAAATATTTAGAATTATTGATTTCCACACCCCTGTAAGGATCTTACATCTGCACTACCAGGATCATGTAGTAAATATTGCCATTTTTGTAACTTCTGCCCCCACTGCCCAACTTACACACCTGGAGAATCCTGAGGAAAGCAAGGCAGTGGCTGTTTCCAGGCACTAAGTTTTAGGGCAGCTTTTTATACATCAATGGAAAAATTGAAATACTGACAGAATCATACTCTTATCTATCCATTGATAAGGATTCCATTGGGCCTGTTTCATATCACCAACAGAAAGCTGCCTGCTTATAACAGCTGCCTGCGAGGGAGGGAAGGAGAGTAAGGTACAGAAAACGTCTCATAAAAAATGAACACACAGGCAGGTGTGGTGATACACACCTTTAATCCTAGCCCTTCGGAGGCAGAAGAAAGTGTATCTCTATGAGACTGAGGCCATCCTAGTCTACATAGTGAGTTCTAGGCCAGCTGGGGCTATAGGGAGACC